TAAAAGGAATGAGTATGGATTTGGTACCCAAAAAAATATGTACACCTAACCATAACAACAAAAATAATTGAGGGTAGAAGATGGCGAGCTAACAAATGTTGCTGTTATTTTTCTCTACAGCTGCTGAGATCAGTGTGAGCCATACACAGTGCAAATCATGACAACCTCTGGAGAGAAGTCATATACAAAGTAACCAGTCAATGAATGTAGATTTTTTTTTACGCGCTCTGGACATTGTTGCAGCTCAGCTGTGATTGTCTTATTATTTATTTTAGAGGAATCCCTTTCTTTTCCCTCCCATATGAATGTGGAGTTCCCCTTTTAGTCCTAATCTAGTGAAGAGACACTCAGCAGGAAGCAGAGATCACAGATGTAATGAGCGGCCGTAATAAAGACAATTACAAATAACACATCGAGAGATTTTATACACTTCTATTAAATATAATAATGATAATATAAAATACTTCTATTAAACATTTACAGGGAGAGATTTGCTTTATGAAGTTTGTGGTTCTTCTTTAAGCTTCCTGCTATCCATATGACGAGCGCCGTTCCAGATACGGCCGTTACCTATAAAATTACCACTCATCAGCATTTCCGCGTCCTCCATCAATATTATTTATGGAAAAAACAATGGGGATGATATTTATCGCTCTCCTTGAATATGATCCCAGATGGAGGAGTGAAGGAATGAACGTTCCATCGTCTCAGGTCTGCAGTCTTATTCTCATGTGCGGTCTTTAAAGGGACCCCAAACGTCAGAAAATGTTACCAACTGTACCGGGGTTATTCACAGAAGAGTGAAGAGTTTGGAGAAGGCCGGAGAAGGGAACAATCTAGGACAACATCGCTGGACCGGAAAGTGAGCAAATTTTTCCAATCAGCGATGTTGTCCTAGATTGTTCCCTTCTCCGGCCTTCTCCAAACTCTTCACTCTTCTGTGAATAACCCCGTGATCTTGAAGAGTTTTTCACACTATCGTATTCTGCTGATGAAGGTACAGCACACCGTCTCTACAACGCGTGCGTGAACTCCATTGAAGTATTAATGTTGAACGACATCAATTCCTCTACATCACAAGGCACAAACCTGCACTATAGCACACTGCTATACACACACTTGCAATGCACGCACCTACACTATAGCACCCCAGAATGCACACACCTGCACTATACCACACCGCAATGCACGCACCTACACTGTAGCACCCCACAATGCACACACCTGCACTATTCCACACAGCCATGCACACACCTGCACTATACCACACAATGCACACACCTGCACTATACCACACCGCAAGGCACACACCTGCACTATACCACACCGCAAGGCACACACCGGCACTATACCACACCGCAAGGCACACACCGGCACTATACCACACCGCAAGGCACACACCTGCACTATTCCACACCGCAAGGCACACACCTGCACTATACCACACCGCAAGGCACACACCTGCACTATACCACACCGCAAGGCACACACCTGCACTATACCACACAGCCATGCACACACCTGCACTATTCCACACAGCCATGCACACACCTGCACTATACCACGCAAGGCACACACCTGCACTATACCACACCGCAAGGCACACACCGGCACTATACCACACCGCAAGGCACACACCGGCACTATACCACACCGCAAGGCACACACCGGCACTATACCACACCGCAAGGCACACACCGGCACTATACCACACCGCAAGGCACACACCGGCACTATACCACACCGCAAGGCACACACCGGCACTATACCACACCGCAAGGCACACACCGGCACTATACCACACCGCAAGGCACACACCGGCACTATACCACACCGCAAGGCACACACCGGCACTATACCACACCGCAAGGCACACACCGGCACTATACCACACCGCAAGGCACACACCGGCACTATACCACACCGCAAGGCACACACCGGCACTATACCACACCGCAAGGCACACACCGGCACTATACCACACCGCAAGGCACACACCGGCACTATACCACACCGCAAGGCACACACCGGCACTATACCACACCGCAAGGCACACACCGGCACTATACCACACCGCAAGGCACACACCGGCACTATACCACACCGCAAGGCACACACCGGCACTATACCACACCGCAAGGCACACACCGGCACTATACCACACCGCAAGGCACACACCGGCACTATACCACACCGCAAGGCACACACCGGCACTATACCACACCGCAAGGCACACACCGGCACTATACCACACCGCAAGGCACACACCGGCACTATACCACACCGCAAGGCACACACCGGCACTATACCACACCGCAAGGCACACACCGGCACTATACCACACCGCAAGGCACACACCGGCACTATACCACACCGCAAGGCACACACCGGCACTATACCACACCGCAAGGCACACACCGGCACTATACCACACCGCAAGGCACACACCGGCACTATACCACACCGCAAGGCACACACCGGCACTATACCACACCGCAAGGCACACACC